GTGTGTGTGTGCATGTGTGTGGATGGTCGATGTCTCTTCAGCTGCTTGGTAATAAAACCGTAACACAATTTGCTGCCTTGCAGATAAAAAAGTTTTTTTTTTATAAATTTGTAATTAAATTTTCAGTGTGTGAGGTTTATTGTTCTCTGTTTGCAGATATGTAATATAATTTTCCATCATACTTTTGCGATTTCACTGCTTGAAAAAAACATTTTTGACTCTTTAAGTTAATTATGATGCTTTGTTTCCCACTATGATAATAAAAATTAATAAGCAAACTTGTGCTGCAATGTGAGCAATTGCAGGACATTTAAATACTTAATTGAATTCATCTCAGTGTAATTGAAAGGAAATTATATTGTTGCTGTATACATTAGACAGGGAAAAATGATAAAAATGTAAAATAATAAAAAATATCAGTGGATAAAATGTAGAAAAATTGCAGAACATTAGGCTTTGTTGAAATCTTCAGAGATTTCTTTGATTGTGTTTGGGTGTTGAATTTGTGGCCTGGCAACAGCTGAGCTGATGACGTCACATTCAACAGGCAGCGCAGGTGAATTCTCTCAGCAGACAACATGAATGGAAACTTATAGCTCAATGTCCAAATCACAAAAATGCCATCTGTAACTGGCTTRAGGTTGAAGCTGAATGTTCTTAACATGTAATGCCATTGTTTCAAGTGTTTGTTTGGCCATACACTCTGAAACCTACGTAAAAACGTGTTAAAGTCTGTAAATTGGTACTACTGTGAAATATTTTATACTGAATACCCAATATTGTTGCTGTAGCTTCCAGTTTTTTAGCCTTTTCTATTTATCGAGCCATCACATGGTCTCCATGACAGCCAAGAAAAAATGAAGATTAAACTTCCTTGCCCTAAATTCACGACATCCCCTTTTACACTCTTGAAAATTTGGCATCCTATTCCGGGTATTGCTTGGGCTTTTAAAAACTCATTCAGCTGCTCCCACTTGTAAACAACTTTCCTGTTGGCATAGTGATGCTGGCAACAGATGTTAAAAAGTGGCAGAAGTACTGGCAGACATCGTTCAGGAGTAAAGCATCCAAACCCGCTCAGAAAACTGTTCCACAAATCGGTGACGTATTAGGACCAGAGCTACACCAGGCTGCTTTTAGCTCAATGAAAGTATCAGAATCAGTTCAGTTTCTCCTAAATATTAGTTTGGTAAAGGGACACAATGAAACAGGAAACAGAAAGTTTGTTAATGCACTCTGTGCACAGTCTAGAAATTTAACAAAATCTGGTTTATTGTTTTATGTTTGAGCTTCTAGTGCTTTAAAATGCATGTTAATTTGCCATTTTTACTGTAACTTCCAAGTTTGATTTATAACAGGTTTTTGATCATTTTAACCCTGCAAAGCCAGACTACCAAAACACCTCAAATGTACATATAATGAATCATCAGAGGAAAGTGTTTTAATCTGTTTGGTTTTTTACAGTTGTTGGTCTCAAAGCATCTGTTGTACTATTGCTGCCAGCAGACTAAAGAAATAAGGCCTTTCTCTGTTGCCTAAAATGACCTCATTATGACACTCCTTACAAACATACTCATATTTTCACAAGATA